GCGGGGCCTCGGGTCCTTCTGTCGGGTAGTCCAGTTTACTGAAGAACACCTCAGGCTGTCAGGTTAAAACAGTTGGTCATGTTTTCGTAGAATAAACGCTGGCCCTCCTCTCAGAGCCTACGCTCTATCTGCTATTCCCGAACAGAGACACGCAAGTTTCTCCGTGACTGCAGCTGTCAGTCAAAGCTGCTATGATGACATTTCACCCCAATTTAACATCACCATGGTAGGAATTAGAATCAGACTTATGGGAAAGGAGACCCCTCGGACATAAATCAGCGTGATGAGAACTGTTGATAACAAAAGAAAGAATCTTTGGAAAAAGTTGATTTTAGGAGAATTAATTTATTTTAGTCTGACCCCAGTCCCATCCGCTAACATGGAGGAGGCGGGGTTTACGACGTATATACTGCAGCCAGACACCAGGGGGCGATAGAGACGTTTTGGCTTCATTTTTGGGGACCTGACGTGGTGTCCGTCGTTTTGTTTTTGTTTGTTTTGTTTTTGGGGCAAATAAAATGCAAGTAGGGATTAAAACCGCAGAATGAATGATTACCGGTGCTGGAAACACTAGCGCTTGATGCAGTGTTTTGATTTTGTTGCCATGGGTATCCACAAAGCAATGCATGAAAGTCACGTGGTCACGGGGGGAGGGGGCGTGGTCACGAGTTTGGGTCGAGCCGCCATCTTAGTAGGCCAAACAAAGGCTACAGGAGCAAGAGCACACAGAAACATCAGCTATGGCTCATGTTGTCGTTGCAATGTTAGATCGCGCGATCGGGAAGGAATAAGCTGGAAAATGGGCTCTTTTTTTATCGTCTCCCCTCCTGAGAGCAACGTGAAGGAGCTTCGACACACAGGACACATCACTAGAGCTCATGTACGTTACCAAACGAGGACGGCAGGCCTGGATAGCAGCGGTGAGTCGAGCTCAGCTCTCTGCCATCATGTTTGTTGGTGTGCTCCCCACATTTTCATTCCGGTAAGTTCCAAAGAAATTCACATTGCTGTTTATTTTTGTTTATATACTTTGTTGAGAATAGATTCCTTGATACAGATCAGAGTTAAAGAGAATACAGTTTGCTTGCAACATTCTAATATTGCGGTTAATGGGTGTAAGAATACAAAATAGAAAAAGGCCTGAGATGGGAACAAAGAACTGAGGTGCAGGCAGGAGGACAATCAACCCCAGGACAGTAGCAGGAGGTACTGAGGGTGAGGAGCAGACAAAGGGCAAATGGACACTACCTTAAAAGGAGATGGGGGTCAGGGTGTCAGCACCCTTGGCCACTGTACTAGTCCATTGTGGAGGTGTTTACTGTAGAGGGGAGGAGACCAGAGGTTATAACTGTAACTGTTAGATCAGCCTTTAGCATAGGATGCAGTAAGAATAGTGTATAATAGGGTAATAAATGGATTGTGTGAAACATGGGAACATCTCAGCGTGATCTCTACCAGGACCAAAAGAATCGCAGAGACCGGCGCTGTCTCAACAGCTTTTAGTTTTATTTTCAATGCGCTGAGGTCATAATTAGAACAAACATCCTAATGTGTGATGCAGCAGAACTGTTCTGTTTATGGAGAAGCTTATAGGTGAAAACTCCACAGTAGCAAGTGGAGTTTGCCTTTTTTGTGGATGGTGTGTTTATGTTTTCATCTAGAGCAAATTTTGGGGCAGCTGCTGAGGAGAAGTCAGTGTTATGTGCAACCTCTGTACAACACAGTGTGTTTGTTTTGATTCATGGCCTTCTAACATGGTGCCGGGATCCCACAATGCACTGCGGCGTGACGTCAACTCCAAAGCCCTTTAATCCATAATGTAAATATAATATGGACAATATTATAGTTATTGTCAGAGTATTATGATATATGAGAGCAGTGAGTGAACTCTGTGTCAAACACTGAGCTTCAGTAAAGATTCAAGTTGCATTTATTTATATTTCCTGTCACCTTAAATCTTCACTCAAAGACAAGTATCTGTAACAGTGTGTATACAGATGTATTATGTATAAGAGACAAATATTGTCCGTTTAATTTGTTGGCATTACTACATTTGGCTCAATGCTTACATATATGTGTAAAAAGCAAATGTAGGAGCTGTGATAACTGTGTCTGATAGAATGAAGAGTCGACTGATATATGAAATATTCCTTTATTGGGTGAGAAAATCAGACCATGTCATAACTGCTGTAAGTCACACAGAATAGATATCAGAGCCTTAAACAGGCTGACTTCTGCTAAATGGGTCAAACTGGGCAGAAAGTCTACAAACACATAACATCCTTATAGAATATGATGTAACACTATAGATCAACTTAGCTCAGAATATATAAAGCATATAAACAGTTACAGCAATATGATGCAACAAACACAGCAGCTACTGATCCAAAATACTCAAGCTTCATAGAACTGAAACCAACATTTATTTTAGCTCCATCCTGCTGCTGATACAGACTTTAGGTTTCTGAACATTGAACGTGTTGCTGCCTTTCATAGTGTGTAACTTGAAGGCCCTGAGTACTCTGAGTACTTTCTCCCACACTGGAAACACTGGGATGATCACATTATTTGAACATTACCTAATAAGACTGATTCAGCACAGACAGTTATGTTAAACTTTCCTAGCAGTCCTTCACAAACAGGGAACAGTCTGTCTATTCTCTCCATCTGTCAGCTGCTGCTGGCTCTTCCTCCTCCTCTTCCTCACACACTGCTGAGTTTGTCCTGGTGGATCATCAGGGCTGCAAAGCCTCACAGATGATGTGCAGCAGTGGGTCCCTCAGTCTGTCCTCACTCTGGACACTTGCAGTCATCACACATGGACATCAAATGTGTGATAAGCTGAAGTCTGGGATATGTTGGGCCACGAAGTCTACACCGCCACAGCCTTAAAATTCAGGGAAATGAAGGGCACATTTGAGGGCTGCATTTCGAGCAGCCTTTGAATTGGGACAGCTGCTGTGTCGTAATTCAAAGTAAAATGCGGTCTTTAAGGCTGCAGACCCTGAATTGGGATACAGCCTATATGTCCTCACTGTGCTGCAGACTCTCAGCTGTGACCTCACTTCCTGCTTCTGCATACAGTCTGATCACATGTACTCTGATGTTACAGACCACCTGTCAGTACTGACTGTAGTACTGATGGTACTCACAGGAAGTGATCACTCTCAAGTCTTCATCTGTTTGTATCACAGGAAAACTAAGATCCCAAAAAGTTGATTCTGTTCATCTGGACGTAGCGTTTTCAGTGGGAGAAACATTTCATCATCATCAAGTGACTTCTTCAGTGTGACTGCAGGTTTCCAGCCTTATAAACAGTGCATGTAACAGCTGGCATAGTACATTTGCACAGTGACTGAAACCAGCCCACTGAATGAACAATGGGCTGGGAGGTCAGTTTATGATCATTATATATACATATACATATATGGTTATGTATATGGCTGATGCTGGTGTGCTGTGAGATGGATTCGGTTTTTCTGTTTCAGGAGCTTTGGAGGATTTCGAATACTTCATCAGTGTAGATGAAGTTTAGAGTCAGGTTTAGGTCCCTTTAAATCATCCACACATATGAAAACATATCAGTACGATCTACATTGTAGTCATGAGATAAAAGCAGAACTGTTACAGTCCTGCTTTTATCTCATTAAATAGAAAACAATAAAACCTTTAGAGGTCAGCTGTGAGAGTTACTATGAGCTGCTCTGTCACTCTCCACAGACTTCCTGATCAGTGCCCTCTGATCAGGAAGTCTCAGTCATCCAGCTACAAATGTTCTAGTTCTTATTTTGTTCCCAAAATGTTCCTGTTACAGCAGGGATAATATTTTCTAAAATTATTACGGCCTGAGTACTAAACTGATGTGATTTATTCCCTGGAATATAATATCACTGCACTGTTGGTAAAGTCACGTGCTAGTCTGGAGGTCACAAAGTGACAGGTTCAGCTGGGGACCATGAATGAGATCACTGAGTTTCAAAGCGATCTAACAGCACATTAGTTTAAAGACAGACAGGCTGATGTGTTTCCTACGAGTCATAATAACGTTACAGCAGAACATCGCTGACTTAGAAGCTCTGTTAGAGCTGGAAACACATCAGGACACAGGATAAGGTCACACTGAGACTTTGCACTGAGATAAGAAGAGCAGTTTTATCACAGAGTCACAGTTTACTGAGTAAAAAAGACCAACTGGAAGAGGAGAAACACAGTCAGCTGCAGGTCACCAGAAATGTTCAATAGTTTCTTTAAATGTCACAAAAACTGCGGGACTTGACCTTTGAACCTGAGCTAAGACCTCTGCAGAGGAGAACGTTCTCTTTATCATCAAGCAAAAAATAAAATCCTGTATTCAGACTATTAGTTTTGATTCTGTCAGTTTGACTTCAGTCAGTGGATAATCAGCACGACTGATTCATTAACACGTGAACATTTTCACTGTCAGATAATAAATGTGACACACTGATCTGCTTTAGTCTCAATCAGTTAAAAATAATTGATCATAGAGTCAGTGGGAGGTCAGCTGGATATGTTTCTGAAACCAGTTATTTTATTTATGACCAGTAAAATACACCAGTGATATCAAAATAAATAAAATAAACATGTTTATATCATAGTTATTTTGTTCAGTTCTTTATTTACAGTGACTTTTTTCCTTTTCCTTGTTTTCCTGTTTGGTCTGCTGTGATCAGGCAGAAAAATGAAATAAATGATATAAAACCCAAACAAACTCAATTTAAGTTTTGAAAAGACAGAGACTTTATAAATATTGATTATTGATCGTGCTGTCTGTCAGATCATGTTCACCTCCAGCTGCTGTCTGCCTGGACACTGATGACATCATGAGCTGTGAGCTCTGTGATTGGCTGCTGTGTGTTAGAGCTCAGCTGCACTTTCAGTCACTCATTCAGAGACTCTCACACTCTGTGAGGTTCACACACACACACACACACACACACACACACACACACACACACAGTTTAACTGTCAGAGAGCTGCTGATGAAGATGAAGGAGCTGCTCCTCTTCCTCTCCTGTGTCCTCTGTGTCTCTGCTGACGGTGAGTTTGTCTCTGTAAACAGCAGCTTATTGATCAGGTTATTGATCAGGTCACTGATCAGTGTTTGATGTGTTTCAGTTCTTCATGAGGACGTTTATATCACTGGCTGTTCAGACTCTGATGGAGAGGACATGTATGGACTGGATGGTGAAGAGAAAGCCTACGCAGACTTCAACAAAAAGGAGATGATCTACCCTCAGCCTCCTTTTATTGATCCTTTCACTTACCAGGAAGGAGTTTATGAATTAGCAGTGGCTGAGCAACAGACCTGCAGACAGAACCTGAAGGTTGATATGCAGGCATATAAGAACCCTCCACTGCAGCGTGGTGAGAAACTATTTCCTTCACTTTGAATAAAACAGTTTAAAACATTGATGTTTAAGGTAAGTTACGGCTGCAGTCACTGCTAACAAAAACAATATTTTTGTGACAGTGAAATTAATTGTATTAATTGTCAAATGAACCTGTGAGATTTCCATAAAGAGGTGACAGCTGCATAGGCATCTGTGGCCACATTCAGACAGCAGAACTACAAAACTGTTTAAGGTTATTAGAAGGTTAAATTTGGGTTTTGGGGTCAGGGAACTCATCGTGTCGTTCTTACAGTCTGACTGAAAAAAATCATTCAGATACAAATCTGTCCTTTGACTTGTGAAGTCTTAGCTCATTTACACACTGTAATGAAAAATTCAAATATAGAGATACAACAATTAAAATACTGGGAAACAGATCATGAGGAAATGAACCAGAATTAATTGAATTTGATACAGACTTCACTTTTTTAGCAAGCATCTTAAAATAAGAAAATGTATCAAAACATTTTGTTGATTCCACAGATAATTACTGACAATACAAACAAGTCATGTTTTAATATTTCATACAAAAAACTCAAATTTGTTGTTTCCCAGGAAGAAAACATGACCCTGTCATGAGTCAGACTGTCTGTGACACATGACAGGGTCACGTTCAGGTCCCATCCCTGTGTGTTTATACATATGGCTTTATGTATCAGCAGGGCTCACATGATGAACATCGGTGTAGCTGCGAAATAAATGTGCTCATCTCCAACACTGATGTGATCTGTGCTTTTATTCAGATGCTCCTTCAGCTGTGATGATCTACAGCAGAGATGAGGTGGAGTTTGGAGAGGAGAACACTCTGATCTGTCACGTGACTGGTTTCTATCCTGCTCCTGTCAACGTCTCCTGGACCAAGAACGGACAGAAGGTCACTGAAGGATCCAGCATCAACGTTCCCTATCTAAACAAAGATTGGACCTTCACCCAGATCTCCAGACTGCAGTTCACCCCACAGCAGGGAGACATCTACAGCTGTGCAGTGCAACATCTGGCCCTGACAGAACCACTGACCAAAATCTATGGTGAGAAAACTTTATTCAAACACAGAGCACTGACAGGTGACTGTCTCCAGATATGGAGTCTGACCCCACTGTTGATCAGGAATAGTTGGTCACTGTTTTTCATCTTTGTGTCCAGATGTGGAGGTTCATCTATTTGTGTGTTTGTGTCTCCAGAGGTGGAGGCGTCCGCTCGCTCTGATCCAGGTGTTGGACCCTCTGTGTTCTGTGGAGTGGGTCTGACTCTCGGTCTGCTCGGTGTGGCTGCTGGAACCTTCTTCCTCATCAAAGGAAACGAGTGCAGCTGATTGGCTCACAGTGATGATGTCATCAGTACAGAGACAGTTGAATTCATATCCTGATGTTTGCCTTCCCTTCTGTGGTGTCTGAGGCGAGGCCGTCCTCTGTGCAAACACAGACCTGCTGGTTCATTCCTTCACACTGATTTACTGATGTTTGAATTACAGATGTTTGTTTCTCTGCTTTCTCTCTGTGTTTAAAGTAAAAACTAAGTTTGATTAGAAACTGAAAGCATATTTGTTTTAATCATGAAAGTTAATAAACAGACCTTTGCTGATATCATTGTTGTTTTCATTATTGGCAGTAGCTGATTGGGAGGACAGTTAAATGCAAATGAACCAAAATATAAAACTAAGAATAAATAAAAAAATAAATAAGTGATTGTTCAGGATGTTGTTTGTTGGTCTTCACAACTAATATTAAAAAATGTTCAACTGAAAGAAACTTGTGTAATTGTTTGGATGTAATTATGAGTTATGGACTATTTATGCAGTATGTGTCTGGTTACTGTCCATTGTTGTGTTTCTTAAACCTATATGACTAATACTGACCAGTGAATGTTATATCTACATACACATGCAGAGTTAAGCTAAAGCCTGATTTTTCAAATTGTTTTGTAACAGTTCACCTGTAGCTGCTTTTCTTAAAGAGACATCTCTGTCCCCTTATAGCAAGAAGGTCCTGAGTCCACCTCCACCATCAGGCTGGTGCATTTCTGTGTGGATTCTGCATGTTCTTCCCGTGTCTGCGTGGTGTTATGACTCAAGATCATATGGGTCATACGTGTTTGTGTGTGACTCCTCCCACCTGAGGATGGTTGTGAGGTTTTCTCTCTCCTCTCTCTCAGGTGTGGACATGCGTGTCTTGGGTGTTAAGGGTGAACATAACAGTGGTTCTCCCCGTGTACTCCGGCTCTCTCCCACAGTTCAAACGCATGCAGTTACTGGAATCAGGTGGTAACACTAAAATGTCCATAGATGTGAATGGTTGTCTTTGTCTGTCTGTTAGCACTGTGACAGACTGGCAGCCGGTCCAGGGTGGACCCTGCCTCTCGCCCTAAGGCAGCTGGGATAGCCCCACCCCTGAACCCGGCGACCCTGAAAAGGAGAAGCAGAAGAGATAGATGGAAATAATTAAAATGTCTGTCCCGTTTGTAGCAACTGAAAATAAAATAAATTCATAATTATAATAAAGGTCAATCAAATGGACCAATATGGCAAGGCCATGATGATCCACTTGGTAAAATAAATCCGCTTGGCATCTTTCTTGGCCTTAAGACAACAATTCTGACGGCTAAAGATCCAAACGGGACACAAAAAAACAAAAAGAAAAAAAATGGAAATAATTAAAATGTGCTTCAAATTATTTGTAAGTATTAGTGTCACATTTACAAGTGCTGCACAATTTAAAACATAACCCACATAAAACATAACCCCGATGCACAATTAAATTAATGTGTAAATTCACCTGCAGGTAGATGTGAGCTACCATATTAGATGGCGGCAAGATGGCGCTGGAGTGACGGCAGCCTTTACAACTCTGCCACACTGTACTTGTTTCTTAACTTTTAACTATTTTAGACTAGTCTTTCAAACGTTTTACCTCTTAGATATACTATGGATAACGCACTTTTTAAAACTTCTGGAACCAGCTCCTTCATCTACTCAAGAGCGAAGCTGCTGGCACTTAACACAAAGGCACAGACCGGCATCAGACACAATATCCCGGCCAAGCTAAAGAGGAGCTACAGAGGCTGCAAGGCTGGAGCGAGGAAAGCGGATCACCATCAATCCCGACAGTGATCATGGGCAACGTGAAATTGCTACAGAATAAAATGGACGAACTGTGTGCTCTGAACAACCACCGACTCTACCGTGAGTGCAGCTTGTTTATCTTCACGGAGATGTGGCTAACCGAGCTAACGCCGCAGGCTAACGTAGACCTATGTGTAGAGCTGGGCGATATGAGATTTTTTCATATCACGATATGTTTTTTTCATTTCAGGCGATAATGATATCTATCACGATATCAGCCAAATAACTATATTTGTAAGATTTAAATGTGCCGTTGCTCACAAGTAAAATGTGAAATAATCAGCCGCTTGTTTTGATTTAAATATTTATTTCCCATAATAAGTTCAACAGGGTAGATGTACTTAAGGAACATGAGACTTTTTCAGATAAATAAAGGCAAATATTGCAAACTACACAAAAGGCAGCCGCTAAAGCGTTTAAGTTTCAAAATAGAACAAACGAAACAGACTAAACTGTCAATTCCACTTAGAAACAAAATATTAATTCTAAAAATAAATCTTAGTTTGTTTTACAGAAGAACAGACAAAACTGACTAACTTTTGTCAATATCAAATAAACTGAGAACTAAAAGGAACTTCTCAATCTGTCCTTGTTGTATAGCTGAGCTTTTCAAACAGTTTTAACAGTTACTTTAGTCTGACAAAAGCCGAATGACGAATTAGCACGTCCAGTCAGAGACTGAGGCTACGTCCACACGTACACGGGTGTTTTTGAAAACGGAGATTTTCCGTTTTCGTTTTAAAAAATAATCCCGTCCACACATAAAGGCAGAAATGAAGGAAAACGCTGCTATGAACATGCCAAAGCAGCAGGTGTATGGCGTTATTTTTGTGCCACTATTCTGAGCGCACGTAAAAAAAATTTGAGCGCACGTAAAAAAAAATTGCAGGTGCAAGTGTTGCATTTTGAGGAGAAATTTATTTTGAGCTTACAAAAGCTGAATTTGAGTGAACAAAATTCATTGCTGCGTGCAAAAAACGTATTTCAGTGTTTGCGCTTATCCATATACACACACAATAGCACCTCCTCTCGCTCAGTTTTTTCATTTGTGCTTGCTCGCAATGTGTTGCTTACGCTCACAACATTCTCTGCTTCGTACGCTCAACTCTCTGTACACCGTTATAAGTGTGCCACAAAACCAACCAATCACAGACTTGGTTTCAAAAATTCTGATTGGCTCTTACGGTCTCCAATCAGCTCGCTAGCTACTGCTTTCCGGAAACACTGTCCGAAATGTAGCTAAATCCAGCTAAACTCTATTAAACCCCAATTTGCGGATAATATCTTTAATTATTTTAAGACTATTGTTGGTGTAATATAATGTAGTTGCATCATACAACCATGCCAACTGACTAATTTTTCCAAATTATATTTGAGTAGCTCTCTTTTATGTCATCGAATACTGAATAGGAGCACGAAAAGAGCATGTCCCGGCCACATGTAAGTAATAGAAAATCATTTTGTTAATTATTATTCGCTTGATAACTGACGTTAGCTAATTTTCAAACTATGCAAACTTGAAAAATGATGTACCTCATGTAGTTTGTTTTATGGGTTGTTTATTTTTGTCTGAGATACATCATTTCATTGTATTTTTCTAACTACTTGTCCATGTTCCTTGCTGCTTTTAACAGGACATACTGAGACAGCAAATGATGCATAGACTCCTCTCTAAACTCGAAGCTGCTTTGAACCAACAACCACTAAATCTGGATTATTTGGAGTTCTTGACTCGTCATGAGCTTGTTCTGTTTGAATCTTTCTCTCAGCAAATAGGCGGTCTGTCAGAGATTACAGAGGCTCTACAAAACGTTCATCATCTGGTTCACTGTGAAATTAACATCAGCTCTGTGGCCATTATTGAACTGGAAACAGAAGTTGGTCTGGGACCTGGCCACCCCAAAATCGTACTAGAGAGAGAAAGACTCAAGAATTTGTTGGACATTCAGCTGCCAGTCAGCTGCATTGCTAAATGTCTTGGTGTTTCAAGAGGAACAATCTACAGGAGGATGCAAGAATTTGACTTGTCTGTGAGAGGAACATACAGCACAATGAATGACCAAGAGCTGGACAACATCATATCAGCTATCAAAAATCAGATGCCAAATGCTGGCTATCGAATGGTTCAAGGACATTTGGTTTCTATGGGTCTCCGTGTTCAGTGGTGGAGAATGATGGCCTCCATGCATCGAGTTGATGCTGTAGGGATCTTCAAACGGATCACAGAACTAGGCTATGTTGTGCGAAGAAGCTACTCGGTGCGAGGCCCTCTCTCCCTGGTCCACATAGACACAAATCACAAGCTAATAAGGTAAAATACCCACTTATATAGCTCTAACACAAGTTGGGCAGAAAGATGCACGTTATACTTTAAATCTGCTTTAATCAACCTAATCTTATAGGTCTTTCAGTGTATTTATAATACCGGTATTTTAAAAAGCACTTGATAGAGTAATATTAAGTAAAGGGAATACAGGATGTGTAACAAAACCAGCAATATTGTTAATTGTAAATTTTCTTGAGTAATTATTTACACTTTGTATATTGATATTTTCCATGATAACAAGCCTATCAACACATAATATGTTAAGTGCTCCAGAAAACTTAAAAAAAAATCATGACAAGAGAACTAAAATATTTAGTCTCATTGAACTTATAAACATATAAAAATGTTGGTATTATTTTCAGCACACCTGACAAGTGTCCAGTTTAAGTCAGTGGCAAGTGTGCATACTGAAAAATTTATTTTCAATGTCTTACATGTTCTGCAAATCAAGCCTTAGTGAGATTGTTTTCCCTCTGAAACAGGTACAATGTTGTGATCTTTGGTGGAGTGGATGGCTACTCAAGGAAGGTAAAATTTTAACTGTTATGTAGAATATTTGGTAGTTTTGAAATGAGAGCTTTATTAGGTTGTTTTTTTATGAACATCAACTATTCAGCAAGCCAACATAGTGGACGATTTGCAAATTTTTTTTAAAATTTATAATCAGTTCTTTACAAAAAAAGGTTCAACTAAAAGGCCATTTTCATTTTGTGATAAGTACTACCAATATTGATGTATAGACTACTCAAGCTTTGAATTATGGTTATGAACATAGAACCGTACAATATTCCTTGAACACTTATTATGAAACTGCATTATTAACTGAAAAACTATACATGATCTGAAACCAGATCTTTAATTTTCCATTTGTTTTTACTGCAGGTCCTGTACTTGGATGCAGCAACTAACAACAGGGCAAAAACTGCATTCTCATTTTTCCTGAGATCAGCCCAGCTTCACGGCTTGCCATCAAGGTTTTATGCCCTGATTTAATTTATATGCTAGCAACAAGTTTCATTAAAGAAAACTTTAAAAATTCCTTAAAAATGTATTTTTACCATAGGGTTAGGGCAGATCAAGGAGTAGAAAACCTGGACATTGCACATTTCATGTTTGCCACAAGAGGAACAGGCAGAGCGAGTTTCATATCTGGAAAGAGTGTCCACAATCAGAGGTTAGTCTTTTGATGTTTTTTATATTATTATTGACTGCATGGGTAGATTGTTGTAGCAGTTCTGATATTGATTTGAAGCATGAAATACCTGAAATCCAAATTCAAATGTATTTACAGAGTAGAACGACTTTGGCGTGATGTCTGGATTGCAGTCACAAGCAAGTACCATGATATTCTTCACTCACTCGAGGAGGATGGCCTGCTTGACATTTCAGATGTCATTCATCTTTTTGGTGTCCACTACATCTTTGTCCCTCGACTCCGAGCAGATCTTGTCACCTTTGTTGGAGGATGGAATAATCATCCACTCAGGACAGAAGGTGGTCTCACTCCTGAACAGCTCTGGTGTATGGGACATCTACAAGAGCTGGACGAGGGCGAGGGACTTGAGGTACCAGATCATAATCTGATTTTTTTTTTTTAATTTATTTAAAATGTTGAATTTCAAAATTTTAGTTAGCAGTTAACTCTGCTCTTCTGAAATTAACAAATTAAAACACTTGTAACACATCTGGGAGATGCTTCTGGTGATTTTATACGTTCTTGCTTATCAATTACCACTAATCTAAATTACAGTAAGAAGAACATGAAAACAAAGGCATTCTTTTTAAATTGTTGTATTTAATGGAAAAAACGCTTACACAAAACAACATTCCTCCCAAAAGTACCTATTCTGGAATAATGACCATTATATATGTTTGTGGATTTGAAGGAGCTTCGGGATCCAGGCATTGACTGGGAGAGTGCTGTACTGCAAGAAGAATCTAACAGCACAGTCGTGGTTCCTGAAGTTGAATGCCCACTGGATGAGGAAACCCTGGAGGGGCTTCAGAGAACTATTAATCCCTTGGAACATTCTGAGTCACACGGTCGTGACCTGTACATACAATTCTTGCTACAGGTGTCAAACCAACAGTGACACTTAACATGGACGTGAAAGTCAACGTTCTTTTAAGTTCTCAAATACTGGATTTCTTTGCTAAAACATTCAGATTACAAGTAGACAAGCAAACAAAGCACTTGCTTATTATCTATCAACGTAGGATCCTACACAAAGTTTTGAAGTCTTGTCATTTTCATGAAACGGCTACGAACATCTTAACAGCTAATGTTTACAAACATTTTTACTCAGACAACAATGTGTTAAACTCTGTGGAATCCACCACCATATTTAACTGCTGCACTCATTATGGTTTTAAACACTGTGTAAGTGTCCAGATGCTGCACTGGAAAAGTCACAGTACAAGTGCATGCACTCACAACTGGGTAACAAATGGAGTGATCTCCCAGCCGCTCCTTACATTCATGGTCAAACTTGCATGTTATTTTAAAATGTCTCTTTTCATCAGGAAGGATGGGAACATGGGACTGGCCGGTCATCCACTGGAGCACATGGTGGACAGCAAGAGACTCTGATTTTTCACCACCTGCACCACCTGCACCGCCTGCGTTTCCATCTGTGATGTTTGAAAATGTTTCTGAAGTCTTTTCTAAATAAAAAGCAATCTGGATTACAATGTTTTAAATTAACAACTAGAATACTTTCTAGTGCCCTGCATGTTAAAGCAAAAATATTTAACAGATGCATACGGTATATATACAATACTATAGGTATATACAGCTGATACTATATAGTACCTGATACTTCAATCTCCTGCAAGAAATCTTGCAAAAAATGTATGATCTTCCTCTCAGTTCTCTCCCTAGATGTCCCTTTTTCACTGAAATGTGGTTGGCAGCTCATCATAATGAAATCAGCGTCTGGCTGTAAATAAGGAAATAAAGTAGATTATATTATAGATATATTGTTCATTCAAAACTAATAAATAAATACAGGATAACTACAGTACAGATAAGTGGACTGTCTTTGGATCAGACTGAAGCTGCTATGTTAATACTTACTTTGAGGATTTTCCCAGGAACAAACAAACTGTGGCAAGCTTCAGGATTTACAGCCATCAGGTTCACAAGACCATACAGTTCCATGCCCTTTCGGAGCTGCTGTAGCATTGGAATCAGTCTTGTTGTAGAGTGTAAGACAATAGCACTTAAAAAAAACAAGCAGAAGAAAAAACAAAATGAAAAACTAGTTGGGGATGGGGGGGTGTTAATGATCTCTCTGATTTTTTCTCCCTTACCGGATCATGCTTTCCTTACTATCCATCTTTATCTGGTTTGTGTATCCACAGCTGACAATTTCATCAGCCCACATCATCAGAGACTGTATGTCTGCTGCATCTTCAACCTGGAAATGTATAATGTGAAAGAGGAAATACAGAAGGTTAAAAGTGTTTAAAAACACCATACTCATAATATATCATGTGCCAGAGCTAAACCAGGTGCTCACTTTGCGGATGAGCAGGGAAGATTCCACATCTGCAACATCCTCCTTAGACAGACAGCTGAAATCAACCTCTCCTGAGCAGAGGAAATTGTAGCACCATTCTTTGAAAAAGGCAGGAGATGGGCCTCCTTGGGCGAGGCTGACTGCAATTATTTCACCAACAGTTCTGTGTAGACAAATGATTATAATTCATTTTCAGGTAACATTTACAAAAATATCGGATGCGTATTAAATGTAATACACAAAGCTCGTATGTAACCAACCTGAAGTTTTCATTATCAAGATCGGTCAGAGAATACTTGGGGTTTTTGCCCTTGTTCTCAAGTCCTTCAAAGAATCTGCTTTCAATACCTGAAATCATGTCTTTCATACAAAAAATATCCGCATTTTTAAGTTATCCATTATTTATTGACACTAGGACAAAACAGGTAATAGGCAACTCACCACTCAAAAACTCTTTCCTAAGTGCTCCTGTATCCACGCCTGCCTCTCCTATGAAAACCACCCTAAGAACACTGGTGGGAGATGCAGCTTTTTTTCTCTGCCACTGGAGAATGCCTCTGTCTGGAAGGTCTTCTCTGTCCACACACAACTTAAATTCTGTTGTGGTGTCGACTTGTTGTTCAAGGCAACGCAATACATCTTCCACGCTTAACAAAAACAGGGTAGAAAACATCCTAAGCTCTCAAAGAAAAATAATCATCTTTAGATTAAAAGAGGCTACCACATTAAACGTGATTAGAAATTATTGCAGCATGTTCTGTGCAACAACCTTTAACAATAATTTAAAGATGTGTGATCATAAAATGTTTTATATGAAATTAAACCCCAGGTATTGTGTAAAAGATCTTACACATAATTTTAACAAATGGTTCTGCATAATAGTGTGTATATGAACTATAATAGAGCAAAAAGTACCTGTCTGTTGTGCATACTGAAGTTTGAGCTGGTGTCCCTGTAGTTTGGTCATTTTCTTCAGGCACCATGCATTGAAAGCTGATGACAAAACAAAGTTAAAAAACAAAACAAAAACAAACTACATATGTTTGCGTGGACCGTTACTGATTAACATTTTTTCATAAACGGCTGAAAAAAGATTACCTATCCCCACACAGACTCGCATGGACTGTGATCTCATCTTCAGGAAAATCCTTAGTGCATATTGGACAAATAACCTACAATTTCAAAAAAGGGGTACATGTTAGGCATAGTGGGAAAAAGATCATTACCGATACAAAATTCATTGTAGTTACTATGGTTTTTAGTAATGTGCTAGGTTTACCTTGCATTTGCTTTTCACAATGCATAACTCCGATTCCTGCTGAATCAAAAAACAGTAATTGTGATACTATATTATTTAATCAAAATTGCTCATTTTGATTTCATCAAAATTGTCTCACCTCATCATCAGTCTCATCAGGAGAGAATTTTCCTTTGCACGTATTGATGTGTACTGCAAGCATCTGCAGAGGCATAACTTCATTACACTGGTAACATATCTTCTTTGGCATCTTTGAAAAGTGCTGTGAGTCGGGAGGTAGAGGAGATGTGTCTAATGTTTCCTGAAGAGGTACTATGTAAAAAGTGGATTTGCCACCTCCTGACACAGCTTTCAGTGTTTGACAGAATATCCTTCTGTTTCAGGTGGAATTACAGTGAGCTTTCGTCGACCACTGCCACCTTTATTGACAGAAAAATAGCATAAACAATCAAGCAGAAAAAGTATCAACTACATAATCATAATGCAGTATGAGCACGCAAGAATGCCAAAAAAAAACACATAAAAACTGAATTAACAACAAACCTGTTGCCTTATGCAAGATATTCCATTTTTGGAAAGGTTTCTTCCAGAAGTCTAGAAATCTTAGTTAAAAACACAGTTAAGCAGAATGGAACACTAAATGGACTGTGGCATATGATTCAGGCTAAATGCATCTGCCAATGACTGATTTTAATACTGACTACACAAACTTACCTCTGCATGGTCACCATCTTCTGGAAGAGACATTGTCTCCCCATGCCAGCTTGTAGGAGTTCAAGCTCCTCAGCTGGCAAAGGTGTGTAGGATGTGTTTTTTGACAGCAAATAAAAACTGAGGCCTGTGGTCTTACTGCCTGCCTTAACAAGCTGCTTAGTAGATGTTAAACATCTCTTTTTACCACGGCTCAAGTGTGATTTGAAATATCCTGGAAATGATCTGTGGGATGAAAATGCATGAGTTTAAAAAATGCAGTGTTGCATAACATAAGGGTTATTGTTTAATAAAGTTATTAAATATGACATCGGTCCTTAATAGCACATTTTAATTTAAAAATCAATGTTGATAAATCCACAAACCAAATAACTTTAACAGAAAAGATTGCAAAAAGTTAAAAAAAACACACAAAAAAAGCAAAAACCTTGTCATCTCTTGCTGGATAGTCAGATTTCTAGGCTCCGGCTGCCCACTCTCTGTTGGCCTCCCTGAAGGATTTGTGGATATGTTGTTAAGCAGCAAAGACACCAGATTTCTTACTGCTGACTCAACTGCACCATTACCCTAAAAAACATGATTAGGATACACTGCCTCAGTAAGACAACTACGCTGGTAATTACCCATAAGGCTAGCTTAAACTCTACAGCTGCATCTGTAACTACAATTTCACAGCATATTAAACAGAAAGGACAGCAAATTACTAAATTCACACAAAAAAAATTAAACTCACCTGATACTGTGGTGTAGTATTATTGGAGCCATTGTTTGATTCTGCCATCTCTTCTTTAGCTGCAGAGTAAATCAAAAATCCCTCTATCTGCAAGAAGCGAGGCTGAGTGGACAGTGTTTCCGGTGTCCGGAAAGCAGTAGCTAGCGAGCTGATTGGAGACCGTAAGAGCCAATCAGAATTTTTGAAACCAAGTCTGTGATTGGTTGGTTTTGTGGCACACTTATAACGGTGTACAGAGAGTTGAGCGTACGAAGCAGAGAATGTTGTGAGCGCAAGCAACACATTGCGAGCAAGCGCAAATGAAAAAACTGAGCGAGAGGAGGTGCTATTGTGTGTGTATATGGATAAGCGCAAACACTGAAATACGTTTTTTGCACGCAGCAATGAATTTTGTTCACTCAAATTCAGCTTTTGTAAGCTCAAAATAAATTTCTCCTCAAAATGCAACACTTGCACCTGCAATTTTTTTTTACGTGCGCTCAAATTTTTTTTACGTGCGCTCAGAATAGTGGCACAAAAATAACGCCATACACCTGCTGCTTTGGCATGTTCATAGCAGCGTTTTCCTTCATTTCTGCCTTTATGTGTGGACGGGATTATTTTTTAAAACGAAAACGGAAAATCTCCGTTTTCAAAATACCCGTGCGCTCAGAATAGTGGCACAAAAATAACGCCATACAGGTGGGGCTAGATTCCTAACCGTGCAGAAATGTTGGCCAATCAGAAGTCTAGAAGCCTCGGTGGGAAAAAGTAAACAAAGCTGGGGCATAGAAGCAGAACCGAGTCGTATGTGCGGAGGGACAGTAACTGTGTGTATATGTAAGCATTTAAACACTGCAGAGAGTAGAATTAACAGTATTGTAGAAATTCATTTCACCGAAACAATAACGTGGCGCGCAGTGTGACGCATGCACCAGTTTATTGTATTTCCAGACTTGCTTTCGGCACATTTACAGTGCAGCTACTCTGTTTTTTGTCAGACTTGAAATAGCCGAAATACCTTCACACTACGGAACTTCTATGGCTCTTCTGTTCGACAATCTCTCCGGCATTGGAACCATCATCTGTTTTCTCTTCGGTCACGCTCGGTTGATTTTTCTAGTCGGCACACTCATTTCCTCCATTACGCGCTGGCTGCTTCCCAAACAAACACACGTGCAGCTTGGCCCTTGTGCTGTACGTAACAAGTCACGCGACGTGACGCTGCGGCTGTGATTGGTTCGGCTCTGCGCTACTTAATTTGGATTGGCTAAAGTTTCATCTAATCTAATCTAACATTAGTACCACAAGCCTGAAGAGTCATCACTAAAGTTGCTGAAGCCCCCATGATGTTTTCCACTTAAACTACAGTCAGATATGAAGAAATGTGGATCACATTAGTAATAATAATTACATTAATTCATGATAGATTTACTTTGTTCAATATTATAAATACATCTTTAAGGCTGATATTAACAGTGACATTACTGGACTGAAGAAGAGGTGTTTATTATAACAGAAGTGAATATCTTGCATTTGAGAAGGAGCTGTGTGTGTTTGGTTTGAAAAACTCACTGTAACGATCATTGATCTTCACTTCTGTTATAATAAACACCTCTTCTTCAGTCCAGTAATGTCACTGTTAATATCAGCCTTAAAGATGTATTTATAATATTGTCACAGAATTGCAGACATGCAGATCAGAATCAAGCTCTATGAGAAATGTGTTTCTGTAAAGTGGTCAGAAAGATCATTAAAATGATCAGGTTTATATTAACTAAGGTAACAGAGGAAGATTACTGCCATTACTGCTCATGTTATAAATTAACATCTTATAATCTATAGAGAATTAAATCAAATCAAATCACTTTTATTGTCACATCACATGTGCAGGCACACTGGCACAGCACATGCGAGTGAAATTCTTGTGTGCGAGCCCCACAAGCAACAGAGATGTGCAAACACAACAACACAAACGAGCAAAATACAAGAATGGCCAACCTGAAACTAATAAATATATGTACAATATATAATAGTGTATGCATTTCTGGATGTGTATACTAAATATTATCCTACGTGTGTGTGTGTTTGTGTGTGTACACATTTTACAAATTAAATAGTAAACAATAATAAAATAAAATATATAAAATATACAGAGTTGAATATGTGCAAAACAGCGGCATTACTGTACAGTGTGGAGTGCATAATGTTGAAGTTCCAGTAGTGAAGCTGAGGTGTCTATGACGTGTTCAGCAGCCTGATGGCCTGATGGAAGAAGCTGTCTCTCAGTCTGCTGGTACGGGACCGGATGCTGCAGAACCTCCTTCCTGATGGAAGCAGTCTGAACAGTTTATGGCTGGGGTGACTGGAGTCCTTGATGATCCTCCCCGCTTTCCTCAGGCAGCGCTTCCTGTAGATGTCTTGGAGGGAGGGAAGCTCACCTCCAATTATCCGTTCAGAGCACCGCACTACTCGCTGGAGAGCTTTGCAGTTGTAGGCGGTGCTGTTGCCATACCAGGTGGTGATGCATCCAGTGAGGATGCTCTCAATGGCACAGTGATAGAAGGTCCTGAGGATGCGGGGCTCATGCCGAATCTTTTCAGTCTCCTGAGAAAGAAGAGGCGCTGCTGCGCCTTCTTCACCGTTTTGTTTGTGTGTACTGACCACGTAAGATCCTCAGCCAGATGTACTCCAAGGAAGCGGAAGCTGCTCACTCTCTCCACAGCAGCGCCGTTGATGGTGATGGGGGTGTGTACTTCTCTGCACCTCCGGAAGTCCACTATCAACTCCTTTGTCTTTGCGACGTTGAGGGTGAGATGGTTGTCTTGACACCAGTGGGTCAGGGCGCTGACCTCCTCCCTGTAAGCCGTCTCATCACCGTTGGTGATAAGACCCACCACTGTAGGGCTACAGGTCGCCAGTCGTTCAATGAGGAGATGGTGGAGGATTTGGGTACAGGGACGATGGTGGCCATTTTGAAGCAGGCTGGGACTACAGAGAGAGGGAAAGGTTGAAGATGTGCGTGAACACTCCAGCCAGCTGAGCCGCGCATGACTTGAGGACGCGGCCGGGAATCCCGTCCGGACCAGTAGCTTTGCGTGCGTTCACCTTCCTGAAGCACTTCCGCACATCCTCCTCAGACACAGTGTGCGCACTGACGTCATCCGCGGTGCGCACACTGTCCGGTCTCATGGTGTTCGCTGTGTCGAATCTAGCGTAGAATACGTTTAGATCCTCACACAGAGAGGCCGTGGTCTGCGGTGTGCTGGTTTTCCCTCTAAAGTCTGTGATCGTGTTTAGTCCCTGCCACATACTCCGAGGGTTGTCAAACTGTTGCTCCACCCTGTCCCTGTACTCACGTTTGGCTGCTTTGATCGTCTTCCGGAGTTGGTAATGTGCGTGTTTGTAGTCCGATGTGTTCGCGGAGGCAAAGGCGGTGTTCCGTGCCGCCAGTGCCGTTAATCCAGGGTTTTTGATTTGGGAAGGATTTTACTGTTCTTCGTATTTGTACAAATTAGTATTTGTACTGCAGTCTGAGCTGTGAGCTGGTGTCACAGTTCTTCTTGGTAACAGATGATGCTGTGGTCATGTGACCTCTTCTCTGTTTTTAGAGCAGCTCTCAGTCAGACTGAGTCAGTTTGTCAGGAGAACTCAGGAACATGGCTTCATCCTTCCTCTGCCTCCTCTTCATCAGCCTCAGCACAGCAGGTACCATCAATACACTCATAAATGATCATTAATACACTATTCAACTGATTAATACTCTTATAAGTAATCAGTGATCAGGCCGCAGTCTGATAGATTTTGTTGTTCTCAGATGGATTTTTGGAGTATCAGGTGGATCGCTGTGTGTTTAACTCCACTGAGCTGAAGGACATCGAGTACATCAGCTCTTGGTATTTCAACAAAGTGGAGGACGTCAGGTTCAGCAGCAGTGTGGGGGAGTATGTTGGATACACTGAGCCTGGGCTGAAGTATGCAGCAGACTGGAACAAAGATCAGGCACAGATGGCTGCATGGAGAGCTCAGAAGGAGACGTACTGCCAACACAACATTGGTATCTGGTACAGCAACCCTCTGTCTAAATCAGGTGAGTGTGCTGGTCTGTGTGACATCATCAGGTGTTGACCTCACTCTGAATCATTCATGATGGACTCACAGCTGCAGGTCAGACTCTGGTGATCAATAACTGTAATAAATCACTGACTCTGAACACTCTAACCTCAGTCTGTGGCGCTCCCTGCTGGTGAAACAGGCAAACTGCAGCTGTTCATTATAACACACTGATGATGATGTTAAATGTATTTTTTCTTCTCTTTAGGATGAAATATAGCTCACATTTATTTTTTAATATAACAGCATGACGCAGCCTGACATGTTATTAAAACATGTTTTTTTTTTCTAATTCATTTATTTCAGTGTTTCTAATAAAATTAGAAACACTGATGTTTGTTTAAATTTTTTTATTATTCTCTTGTGTAATTATACTAATAATAATAATAATAATAATAATAAACCCAAAGATGTAAGGCATCTTTGGGTTTATTATTATTATTATTATTATTACTAATGAGCAGATATCCAGACTGAGATCATCTTCAGTCCTGAAGTTTGATGGTGATATTAATAAAACAAGCTGTCTCCACAGTCTCTGTATGATATATATTGGCGACTGTCAAGCCTTTGAGTCGCCGAGCAGCTGAATAGGGGAATAATGTTGACGCGCCCGCTGTTTAAAACGTTAGTCAAAGTTCCAGGTTAAAACTCCTTTATTTGTTGTTAAATCCTTAAAATCCGTAGAAAACAGTGAACAAAAACATTCCAAGCTTGAGCGGTCAGCAAAAGTCGACTTCCCCCATCACCCACTCATTCACAAAATTTCCCTCGGGCCGTGAACAGGTGATATAGCAATCACTATTACAGACACCACGTGACCCAAAGCTACGCCTATCCATAACATTCCGGCCCCTAATTATTACATTTTTACAGTAATAATTACACATCCAACACCATACTCACAACACACACTTCATCATATCACAGACACCCAGTGAGACAACATAACATACTCAAAAAGTCCACCAAAGTTATTTTCTCATGTCTTCTCTTCTTTTCTTCTGTCTGCACATGGTCAGTCAGTCATAGGCCAGAGGTTACCAGCACTTAGCCTAAATATAGTCAGTCTTATGTACATCTCATAACATTAAAGTCAATTCAAAGTTAGTTATGTCACACTGTGTCAAAAATGTCATAGTCATGGGTCAGAGGCCTCCTGAAGAAGGCATATCTTTGTGATGGGTCTGCACACATGGCTGGTTGGGGTCTTAATCCAGACCTGACGCACAAGCCCCCTTTCATCTGGTGCAGCTCCGGTGACTCTCCCAATGAGCCAAGAACCACGAGGTGCAGAATCATCCACTATAAGGACCACATCTCCAGGAACAAAGTTACGTTTAATCCTTCCCCATTTCTGGCGCTCTAATTCCGTGACTGGGACTCTCTTTGCATATCCTCTAACTATAAGATCTGTCATGAAGGCAGTATAGTCTTTATGAAAGTCTTTATCTCTGATGAACCTTTTCTTCAAACCTAAGGCTCGTTGCTCAACAATTGCACGGTTGTCAGGCATTCTTATGTCTCGGTCTTTCAGTGGCAGGGCAATGCTGTAGTGCCCATCCCCCAAAGTCACCGTCTTGCTGGCCAATTCCAGGAACTTCAAGTCTTCCTTTGACAGCCCCATCTGTTCATCATTGCTGCTCTCAGGAAAATCCATCTTGAACTGCTGTTTCCATAGCTCGTCCAGTATGACAGCAGAAACTCTGTTGGCGGTAACTGTTGCCAAACATCCTGGCCTTCCACAGCATTCTCGATTAAGTGGCCCATTCACAGTCCAGCCGAGCACAGTCCTAATGGCAAAGGGTCCATCACCTACACTCCGGATGACCTCCAAAGGTTCTAGAGCTCTGGGCATATTCATGCCAATCAAAAGCTCAACATTGGCCTTAATTTCTGGCAAATGAACATGCTTCAAATGTGGCCAGTCAACCAGGTCCTGTTGATTTGGGATGTTACCAGTATCTACAGGCATTTTATGCTGAGTGAAGAGGTTAGGCATATCACAGTACATGTCACTGTCCAATCCAGCAACTTCAAGTTCAGGTACAATGAAACTGTCCACCACTTTCTCCTGTCCCATGGTGCGCAGGAGAATCTTTGTCCTCCTCCCAGCAATATTCAGCTTGTCCATAAGACCCACTGTACAAAAGGATGCTGACCTCCCATGGTCCAGAAAGGCATACGTTTCCACTATTCTTTGACATCTCTTTGATTTTACTTTAACTGGCACAATGGCAAGCTTACAGTCCTGTTCACCGGCCCCAGTAAGACCACTAGTCTGGATCGTAACAGGAATGTTATCTGCCTCATTATTAGGTTTGATTTCATTCTTCTCTTTGTGGTGGATATGGAGTATACTTGCATGTCGGAGACCACAGATTTTACATGAAAGGCGTTTTCTGCATTCTTTGCTTATGTGCCCAGTACACAAACAGCCAAAACAAATGCGGTTCCTTTTAAGAAAAGAAATCTTCTCATCCTGAGGTTTCTTATCAAGCAGAGCACATGACTCCAGTGTATGTCCGCCTTTGCAGAAAAAACAAGCCTTCACAGTGCTGTGACGATCTTGAGCCTCTATCTGATTCTGTCTCTCGACGTCAGAGACTGTTGTGGCGAAGCTACTTCCTTTAGCTTTTAGATGTGGAGAACATTTCCCTCCATTGCTGCCCTTGGCTGCTAGATGTGTTGCTGGAACGTCACATAGATTTCCAAAGATGGGATCTGTTACAATTTTAACTTGACGCTCAAGGAAGGAAACAATGTCAATGAATGCGGCTCTGCGATGTTGCCTCTCCTGAATGTCACATGCTACTGTTCGCCATTTGTCTTTTAACTTATATGGCAGTCTTCTAATCACAGCAAGCATATTGGCAGGTGTATTTAATTCAGAGAGATCATTAATCTCTTCCATTGCATTGCAGCATCCACGTAAGAACAAACAATATGCCTGAAGAGCTTTTCCATCTTCTGATCTAATCAGTGGCCATGAGTGAACTTTGTTTAAATAAGCAGATGCAATCACATGTCCATTCCCAAAGTGCTCATACAGCAGAGTCTTTGCCTTTACATATCCAGCACTTCCAGACATATGTTGGCAGCTTTTAACAAGTTCATTGGGCTGCCCCTTGGTGTACTGTGCAAGATAATGCAGGCAGTCACCAGCATCGCCAGTCTTTGCTTCTTTGACCTGTTCAAACGAGCGCATAAAGGCCTGAAAATGTAAAGGGTCACCATCAAAGGTTTGAATCTCCCTTTTGGGCAGTGAAGAAAGATTTTGCTGATGGACCAACATACAAGTTAATTCATTTTGTTTTTCCATAATGGACAACAGATTTTCATTGGCTACTGGAAGAGCAGCTTGTGGCTTAGGCAAAGGTGGAATTGATCCAAAAGCATCAGAAGGCCCCATAAAAGCTGGTGCAGGCCTTTCCCTTTTCATATTCTGTTGCACTGTTTTTACTTGAAGCTCTGCATTCCCAGTGATTGCATTTCCTTTTGCAAGCGTCTGAGGAACAAAAGTCTCTGCATCCGCATTAAGAATTTCAAGGCTGTTTCCCTTTGGTTTAAAATATGATTCCATTCCATTAGATTTCCGTGAAGCGATGCTCCGCATAGTGGATCCAGTTCTCAGCACGTTCACCTTTGCAACAGTTGCAGCTATATCCGCTTCAAGCTGAAGTTGTTCTTTCTTTCTCCTCAATTGTTCCTCTTGTTCTTCAAGAGAGTGTTTTTCTTTCAGCATATGTTGACGTGCGAGCAAGGCGGCCATTTCAGCTTCTGCCCTGAGACATGCAGATGAAGTAGATGATACTCTTGAGCTTGACCTACTGCCTTGATTTGACACGCTGTCGGATGGCAACACGTCATCATTAACATCGTTCTGAGGATTAAGAGATAATTGTGGTTCTTTTCCAGTGTGCTCTCGAACCTCCACTTCTCCTCCCAGGGAAGTTTCCTGTGACTGTGCCTTGTCAGATGATGGCCTCCCTGAATGTTTATCAGTTTCAGAAAGCCATATGTTAACATCCTCCATAAACCCTTATTGTATTTAGAGATGCTTGAGAACCATGTATTTTGTTTAGCTTTCTCATCAAATGAGATTAGAGAAAGTAAAGATTCATGGAATGCACTGGCATCCTTAAACAGGTGTGTTAACTCATCAAACTGTTTTTTGACTTGTGAATGATTTTTATCATCTTTCATTAGCTCTTTAAGAGACATAATAACACTTTTCATTTTGTTTACATGCCTTTTCCGATCTGTTTGGATGGTTTCAATTTTGTTTGCAAGAGCTTTCTCAGTGAGGGAAATTATTCTTTTATCCTTTTCAGTTTTTCCAACAACAGATGCAGCCTGCGATCCACTCATTTTAAGCATTCAACATAAGCAGCATGCCAAAATCCAAAACAAAGGCAACAGCAATTCCTTCAAACTCAGTTGAACGCCTGCAGAGCCACAGCGCACACACACCAAATCCAACAGCAAACGTAGCGGTGGGCGTGTCACAAAAACATCTTCGTATGGTCAGAATCCAAACTGCGTTCAAACAAACAATACGCAACACAAAAACACAGTTTACATACCACCGTCGTCTTCTCCTTATCTGTCGGTCTAGCCGCTTTTACGGGTGTAGTGGCGGCGGTGTGTGGGCTCGCATCGGCGTTTATTCAGCGCTGATTGCGGGACGGTCCATTGCCGTCGCACTTTTTGCTGACAAATATTGGCGACTGTCAAGCCTTTGAGTCGCCGAGCAGCTGAATAGGGGAATAATGTTGACGCGCCCGCTGTTTAAAACGTTAGTCAAAGTTCCAAGTTAAAACTCCTTTATTTGTTGTTAAATCCTTAAAATCCGTAGAAAACAGTGAACAAAAACATTCTAAGCTTGAGCGGTCAGCAAAAGTCGACTTCCCCCATCACCCACTCATTCACAAAATTTCCCTCGGGCCGTGAACAGGTGATATAGCAATCACTATTACAGACACCACGTGACCCAAAGCTACGCCTATCCATAACAATATATATATTGATATATACTACCACAGGAGGTGAGATGCAGGAGGAATGATAAATGGACTGGTTCTTGTACAGCGCTTTTCTCTGAGTACTCAAAGGGTTTAGTGCCCTTTGGTGCGTTTTTCTTGCCTTCAAATTGTACATGAATTAAGAACAAATCTAAAATCATTGATTTAACCTACACAATCTTCAACAAATTAGATCATCGCTGCCAAAAACACGCAGCCAGGATGTTTCTCTACTCTATTATTTTTTCTCATATAGAACAGTGTTTTACTGATTGGTCACTGGCAAGTCATGCTACATTAAACCAACAGAATCTTTGTTTAAAAAGGCCTTAAAAGTGTCAGACAGAAAACCTTTTTCCTTCCATCACTGTCTCATACTTCAGAAATATAATATCTACAGTTTTAAATTACTAAAGATATTTAAGTTTATTTACTATTTATAAGATCTTATGTGGACTTGCTCCACCCACATTGGGTGAGTTCGTCATGTTTAAATCCAACATAAGTGGAAGCATCACCAGAGCCTCTACTGGGGATTGTGGAATCCCTTGTAGACATACAACATCAGCTAAAGCTAGTGAGAATGTGCTACCTTTAACAAATTTAAAACTAATCTCAAACACTGGCTAAAGAGGAATCAGATTTGTAATTGCTTGTTTCATGTTATGTGTTATATTTAATGTTATGCATTTTTATTTATTTGTTGTTTTATGTATTATTGTAGTATTAAATTTTATGTTGTAGTTTTATGTGTTTGTAATCTGGACTAGACTGTTGTACTGACGGTTTGTTAAATTCCTTGTTTATTGTTCTGTCTGACCTGTCGGGGTCTACAGATGAAAAGTAACCTTTCAGCTGACTCTGACATATTTACATTGATATATGTTCATTAATATGCTCTGTACCTTTTACATGAATACATTCAAGTTATACATAGAACATTAATAATAACAGAAACTCATACTGTTTTCCAGCTCCGCCCACTGTCAAACTTCACTCCACGACGCCTCTCTCCAGTCAGCATCCCGCCATGTTGGTCTGCAGTGTCTATGACTTCTACCCCAGTAAGATCAAAGTGAGCTGGCACAGAGATGGACAGGAAGTCAGCGCTGATGTCACTTCCACTGAGGAGATGGCAGATGGTGATTGGTACTACCAGACCCACTCACACCTGGAGTACACACCCAGGTGAGCATCATTTTCCATGGAAACAGACTTTTAATATGAAGTCTGCACTAAAGTTTAAAAGTTTAACATCTGAGAGTCACTGATGTTGATTTGTTTTGAAGGTCTGGGGAGAAGATCTCCTGTGTGGTGGAGCACGCCAGCCTGAAGGAACCTCTGAAAACTGACTGGGGTAAATACCTGTCTGTATCTACACACCTGTACACACCTGAATGTACACCTGTGTGACTCACCTGTGTGTCCTCAGACCCGTCCATGCCTGAGTCAGAGAGGAACAAGCTCGCCATCGGAGCCTCAGGACTGATCCTGGGTCTGATCTTATCTCTGGCTGGATTCATCTACTACAAGAGGAAGTCCCGAGGTCAGAGCAGGAATCCCACTCACAGACCAGTTCATACCTGAAACCAGTTTAGACCAGAATGAAACCAGTTTAGACCAGAATGAAACCAGTTTAGACCAGACTAAATCTCAAACCACATTACATGAGTCTAAAACTGGTTTGGATCTGGTTTACATCAGTATTTTTATATATATATCGATGTTTTAAAATTCCGTTTCAGACCAGTTTAAACTAGTTTCACACAGTTGTAGACCAGTTTGTTTATTTTCAGACCACTGTTAGTTTCATTCATGTGTCAAACCCAGTTTTTTAGTAGTTTTTTTTTTAAAGACTCTCAGTCCTGATCCAAGCCCTGAGACATGAAACTTTACTGATCATTAGTATTGATCAAAATCAGCTTCCATGATGTGTTTTCAGAGTGTGTTGGTGACTGTGTCCTCGTCTCTTCTTCTTTCAGGTCGTATCCTGGTTCCCAGTAATTGAGTCTGTTCCCGGTTCTGGTTCTGTCTGATGTTATAAAAGCCGCTGCTTCATGTGTTCAGCAGACTGATGATGATGATGATGATGATGATGATCTCTGCCTGGACTCTGAACCTGATCAGGATCTCAGTGCTGTTGGTGGTTGTTGTGGTTTCACTGGGATGATCCTGGATCAGGTCTAATGTCGACTCTGCTGTTTGATGCTTCACTGTTTAACTCTGCTCTTCAATCCATGTAATATAATCCCTGTAATCCAGGTCTCAGGGTGACTTTGTTCTCTCTGCTCGTCTGATTCTAATTTACAGATTTTAACTTTCATGTCAAAATAAAATGACACAAACTTTCAGCTGTGTTTGTTTGCCTGCATCACTGCAGATGTTACTGATGTCAGAGAAACCAGTTTAAACCAGTTTAAACACTGAGAGAGCCCCACTGTCCTGCAGGAAGGTTTCATGTTGTTCCAAACCTACAGATGTGTTCATGTGGAGAGTGTTTAGAGGGGACTGATATGAGTTTTTATCAGCTTCAATGCTTGTTTGTAGTATTATTGTGTCGGCGGTAAGATTAGCACAGGCATCCCAATCAAAACAGAACTCATTGAAAGCAGTCACTGTCAGGCTTGTTGACATCCAGAGTCTCAGTAAAAATTCAGGCTTCATCAACAAGTTATGAAAAACTTACAACATTGTTTTGGTTATTTACACTTCTTATTTTTACTTTTAGTTAATTAAAATGTTTTTTCATATCTGGTTTTAGTTTTTGGTTTAGTTTTAGCTTACTGTAATAACCTTGCAGTTTTGATCAGTTTAGTTTAACAGTGTGTGTGATTATGGATATATTCAATTCAATTGTATCTATATAGCGCCAAGTCACAGGCCAGCTCGGTGGTGTGGTGGTTAGCACTGGTGCCTGTTGAATCTAATATCCAGCTGTGGACTTCCTGTTTGGCCATTTAGGTTAATTCGTGTGTAACTCATACCAGCTGTTTGTTTTGTGGCGGCTGATCTGGGTCTTTGGAAATGTGAGGGAACAAACAAAAAGCAACCTCATGGTGCCTTCCTTAAACTGGGACATTAGGAGGCTACCATTTAAATGCAGTCAATACTACTATGTGAATTCCATAAATTTAAGGTTTTCATACTTGATATTTAGTTTTTGTTGTGTCTGTTGAAACCTTCAGTTTGTTTCAAGGAGCAGAGTGCATGCTCTCACAGTTAAGATAAGATCTCACATCAAGATAAAAAGAGACTGGTTTCTGATGTCAGAGTTGTCATGAACACAGCTCAGCACTGAAAACTGCTTCTGACTGAGACATAAATAAACTACACAGCATGTTCTGTCAGATAATTTCATCAAGTAGAAATTGCTTCTGCATATCTTTAGTCACAGTGTGCTATAAATTCAACATGATGTCACACAGTTTGCAGATGTGTTAATAACAGTTTTAGTGTTTAACCCTTTACTGGATACTGTAATGTTCCAGCAGACATTTTGGTCTCACCATGGTTTATTAACAGGGTAACAGGGCAGGGTCCACCGGAACACCTCACTGTCCAGCTCTGGTAACTCACATCAGTGAACACATCACAATAAAATCACCTCAAGGATCGTTACAATACTTTGAAAACAGGATTTTAACACTAATGTAAAAATCTAAAAATCTTAATCGTTGATTAACTTTATTTAAGGCCAAATCACATCAATGGCACTCACGAAGAAGGTTTCACAGACAGGTATAACTGACATCCTGTCAGTGATTCCTGGAATACTGTGTACGTGTGTTAAAACCACAGCTGGCACAGAGAGGATATTTGGGTTTGTTGTCCTTCTGTAGGGGTCAGAGAGCTGTTTGAATGACCACCTGATGTGTGACAAAAGAATCCTCTGTGATGCTGATGACAGTCTGTGCTCTCTCTGTGTGTAAAGGTCCTGCAGAGATTTATCAGTTTATTCATTCATCGTCAGGATTTAGATGCTTCTTTTGGAGCGTTGTTCGTACACAACCAGACCAGGTTGAACGCTAATAACTATTAATTCTCTCCTACCTGTCGGCACATGGAGCTTTTCCACCTTTAACTAAATAGATAAATACTGCAGGTTGGACACTTGTTTGCAGGACATGTACCAGTTGTTGGATTTAGAAAGTCCCTTTCACAGCGTAGAATATTAAAATAAATCACAAAGGTGATTAGAGACTGAGATTAGCACCAGACGTGAGTAAGCAGGTTGTTAACTTCCATTACCACTGTGCCCCCTGGTGGATGTACAAGACATTACCCTATCATTACAGTAACAGATCAGCTGGCAATCCATCAGGAATCCACTAAGTATCTGTCATGGTCCTGTGAGTGATGAGGCGGCCATTTAAAGTGGCTGTATCTGTATTATCAGGCTCAATTGGCTTCTCTCAACATGTAAAAGAACTCACCCACCACTTTAATCACACTCTAGATCTTGTTTTAACATATGGCATCGAACCTGAACATTTAACAGTGTTTGTATAGTAGATACAGAGAAAAACCCAACAATCACATGACCCCCTATGAGCAAGCACTTTGGCGACAGTGGGAAGGAAAAACTCCCTTTTAACAGGAAGAAACCTCCGGCAGAACCAGGCTCAGGGAGGGGCGGGGCCATCTGCTGTGATTGGTTGGGCTGAGAGAAGGAAGACAGGATGAAGACATGCTGTGGAAGAGAGACAGAGGTTAATAACAGATATGATTCAATGCAGAGAGGTCTGTTAACACATAGTGAGTGAGAAAGGTGACTGGAAATACAACTTTATTTGTATAGCACGTTTAAAAGACTAGGCTGAGCCAGGAGTAATTGGGCTGAAGACCTGAGGGCTCGCCCAGGGACATGTAGACTAAGAAGATCGACTAGATAACGAGGGGCTGAATTATTTATAATTTCAAAGGTGAGCAACAATATTTTAAATTCAATGCGATATTTTATGGGTAACCATTGCAACTCAATAAGAACTGGGGTGATGCTTTCTAGTGCCAGTCAGGAGGCGAGCCGCAGCATTTTGGACAAGCTGAAGTCTGTGAAGGAGAGCGGAGTGAAGACCAAAGTAGAGGGAGTTACAGTAATCCAATCTAGAAGTCACAAAAGCATGAATGAGCTTTTCAAGATCTTTATGAGGGACACAGTGCTTAGCCTTAGCAATAAGGCGCAGTTGGTAGAAGCTAGATTTGATTACTGAGGACACTTGTTTGTTAAATTTGAAAGAGCTGTCCAGCAGAACCCCTAGGTCACTAACTGAGTCAGAGAAAGAAGTGGCAAAGGATCCAAAGGTATCAGCTGATAGGCCCCTAGGGATATGGTTGCCAAACACCACAATCTCCGTTTTCTTTTCGTTCAGGATAAGGGAGTTGTCTGAAAGCCATTCTCTGACTTCTCTCACGCACTCGAGGAAGCAGTGCAATGAAGGAGCAATGTCGTCATCATCTAATTGAAAATAAATCTGTAAATCATCGGCATAGAGGTGATAAGAAATGTTATATTTTTCAAAGATTAAGCCTAGGGGGAGCATATATAATGAGAATAACATTGGGCCAAGCACAGAGCCTTGGGGCACACCACAGCATAAGGATGCAGTTGAGGAAGAATAAGTACCCAAGGTAACAGAGAAAGACCTGTTCAAAAGGTATGATTTGAACCAGTTAAGGGCTTCGCCCCGAATGCCCACAGTGCATTCTAACCTTGTTAATAAAATATTGTGGTCAACCATATCAAAGGCTGAGGACAAATCCAATAAGACTAATACAGCAGAATGCCCTGAATCAGTAATTAAGAGAAGATCATTAAGGACTCTCAGCAAAGCTGTTTCAGTGCTGTGGCGTGGTTTAAAACCAGATTGAAATTTATCACAGATGTCATGGGCATCCAGGTAAGCCTGGAATTGCGAGAGAACTATCTTCTCTAGGATTTTGGAGAGGAACGGAAGTTTGGATATCGGCCTATAATTAACAAAATCACAATGATCAAGACACCTTTTTTAAGAGCTTGCACTATAGCATGTTTAAAAACAGAGGGAACATAGCCAGAAGACAATGATGAGTTCATTAAAAACAGAATACTGGGCCCAATTACATCAATACCATCCTTCACAATGCAAGGCAGAAGAGGTTCATATGCAGAACTAGTAATTTTCAGTTGCGTGACAATTTGCTTAAGTGTAGAGAGTGACACTGGCTCAAACTGATGAAAAGTTGAAGCACATTCTCCAGTGACAGCAGGGCTCACCACTGGGGGGAGCGAGGGTTTGAGAGATAGGATTTTATCAGTAAAGTATTTTAGAAATTGTTCACAGAGAGCTGAGGATGGGACCATCGGCATATCGGGGCAGGGATTAACCACTGAATTAAAGATTTTAAATAGCAATCGAGGGTTATGGCCATTGGTCACAATAATATCAGAGAAAAAGGCCACTTTAGCACGTTTAGCAGCAATTTGAAACTCCAGGTGGCTAGAACGCAAAGTATCAAAGGATACCTGGAGATTAGCTTTCTTCCAAAGGAAAGGAAAGGAAAAACTCAATGCATCATGGGAATCCCCCAGCAGCCTACGTCTATTGCAGCATAACTAAGGGAGGATTCAGGGTCACCTGGTCCAGCCCTAACTATATGCTTTAGCAAAAAGGAAAGTTTGAAGCCTGATCTTAAAAGTAGAGATAGTGTCTGTCTCCTGAATCCAAACTGGAAGCTGGTTCCACAGAAGAGGGGCCTGAAAACTGAAGGCTCTGCCTCCCATTCTACTTTTAAATACTCTAGGAACAACAAGTAGGCCTGCAGAGCGAGAGCGAAGTGCTCTAATATGGTGATATGGTCCTACAAGGTCATTAAGATAAGATGGGGCCTGATTATTTAAGACCTTGTATGTGAGGAGCAGGATTTTGAATTCTGGACTTAACAGGAAGCCAATGAAGGGAAGCCAAAACAGGAGAAATCTGCTCTCTCTTTCTAGTCCCTGTCAGGACTCTTGCTGCAGCATTTTGGATT